TATCGCTTCTAATGGCACACATATTTTCCTACCAAGAATGCTCAGCGCGAAACCGAAAGCCAGCCACCGCGCAAGTAGCTACCCTAACTATAAAATTTATAGTTTAGGAACTTTTTTTTGCTACGTTGAGCAAGCACATTTTACCAGGCGGCATAAAAATAATAAAAATGTAAAGTGCCATGAGAACGCATTCCTGTAATCCCGCGTAAACAGTGCCGCCATCGTTCACACTCTTTCCTTCAGCGTCGCCAGAGACAAGGCCCGCAGTTCAGATATCAGATATGACGTCAAATATATTACAATTAGTTGGCGTACGATAACACTACCCCTATATCTTTGACAACGACTGACGACCTAATGACATGTTTATCTTTAAGTTATTGCACAAGCACGCGGGAACAAAGATAAGAAACACGGACGGGTGCAATGAAGTTGTTGTGCCCGTTTTGGTTTTCACCTCTGTCTTAGTGTACTTGCGTAACAACTTCAAGATGAATATGTTCCAACTAGGCCGAATTGTGGTTTTGCAACACACATATCTGGCACGCCACTCTATCATGAGCAACGCTTATTCTTGATATCGAACACGCAGTCACCGCGGAACCTGCAATCGATCTGCCCTCGCCAATCTTCACCGTTTCTTCGCAAAAAACCGCAGTGCCTTCTAGCGTTTCTTCGCACTGACCTAGTTTCAGCGCTGCCGATATTGCGCCCTTTCTCATCCGAGGCACACTCCACTAGCGGCAGGTCTTAGCCTCCAAGATTGCGCAACGACGCACATTTGCCGCGCGTGAGTCTCGGAGCTCGTGGGTTGACGTTCTCCATCTCCATTTGTCGTCACCAGGGTGAGCAACGAATCCAGTGGCGCGGCCATCCCCATGGGGGAGCAGGAATCCTCAAACACGTGTGCGCGTGGTGAGGGAAGGGCGATAAAGGAGTGCAAGTTTGCGATTGATTGCATTTTTTTGTGGGAAACTGGGGCGCGCTTGGTGGCCCAAAACCGGAGGTGCTCTCTCGTGACCCCGGTGGCAGCTAGACGGTTGGCTGAGGGAGCAGGTCAGCGCCCACGTGTTTCCGTGCCCACAATCTCAATTGTAACCCTTTCATTTTCTCCCAAATATTTTTTCGTAGGCGCTCTTGGCTCATGCTTTTACAACATTCATCCTCTGTGCGTACTCCTCCGATTCATTACGATCCTCTTCCTGTTTTTGTGGAGTTAAGCTTTTTCTACATTCGAAGTACTAGCGTGTTCTTTATTTGTGATGATTACAAGTTACTTTGTTGATTTTCTATTTATTAGAGATACCATTACATGACCAGAAGTATATTATAGTTATGAATCTTGATGCAATAGGCAGATAGATAGAGAAAAACTTGGAACACACGTGTGTTTAGGCTACATTCCATCTCTTTCGGTACGTTCAGCCTGAATATTTTATCTCACGGAGATTTTTCATGTGAGTCTTCTCCTTGGCTATAGTGTTATCTAAAATAAGAACTTCATGTATAGTGGTCAAAGTGATTACTCCAGAATATCTTTCTTCTTTTTCTTTGCACGTTCGCGTGGCCTGCCACTGCAGAAAGTTTTGAAGCGTTGGTTTTGCCGATAACGTTGGATGCCTGTGTTTTTCTGTGAACTTGTGTGTAACCAAGAGGATTTAGATCTGGTTGCGAAATAGTTCAGTGCCTGCACAGCAACAAAATAACACCGACAATTAGGCGAGTTCACACCGATGCTTCAATTTAGAACAACGCAACAAAGCAGACAAAAAGACAATAATCGCATGAACACAATCAAGCTCTGAACAGCAGAATCTAGATTGAAGCCGACAGATAAAAACACGTAGTAGGATAATCAGGGTGAACAGTGGAAGTGCCTCAGACAAGCTGGCCAACGTTTGGATAGAAGGGCCTATCTTTGTCAATGCATTTAACAAAGATAGGTCTTCCTATCGAAACATCGGTCAATCTGTCTGAGGATCTTCCTCTGTTCACCCTGATTATCAGAAGTTCTGAACTGGGAATGTGCTTAACAGGATGTTGAGCCCATTTCCCGTTTCAGAAACTTTTTATATTTAATGGATAAATGCAGTGCATTTTGAGGTACAAGCATGAAATGTTCTATATAGTACGAAGAACTTTAAAGTATACTCAGAGCTCTCAGCTCTTAGTGTGTTACCATAGGGCACTACCAGGCCTAACCCCTGCATTGCACGCTCACTATAGAGACGCCCAAAACGGACGTGATGACCCGAGCCCGTAAAGGCAGTGTTTAATTTTCTATGTAGGATATACTTGAGCCCAAGCGACGAGGGAAACCACGAGGAGTGCTGGCTCGAAATTCAACGTCATTCTTCAGTGAGGCACTGTCAGGTGAATAAAAACACTTCGGCATAAGCAATCCATGCGAGACCAGGACAGGAATTAGTCTGGAGTATGTAAGAATCATATGTGGTCTCATGAGCTTTTTTTGTGGTTGGGGAAATATTGTTTTTTTTTCAGACAGAATGGCTTCGTGGACTTACTAAAACTGAACAAAGTGTTCAAGAACTCTTGGACTTCAAACTGTGAGATGGCTTCTCCTTCAACGCGGAAATTTAGTACCCACGTCTCGGAGTTGGTTTTCGATTTAGCGAAATAATTTTTTTTAATGCACCAAGTTTTGCTTTCATGTGATTTTCTTTCCTTTTGATCCTATGGCATGTTCTCACGCTTTCGCGAGGGCCCACGTTAAAGGACACTTCAAACGAAAGTTTTGAAAAGTCCCTTTTAGAGCACGTGACACATGCTTATAAGAATAAGCATTTGTACCACAGTGCGTGTAGATGAAGGGCAAGATTTGTCAACATTATCCTTCTTGGTAGATAGAAAAAGGTTCGTGAGCGAGAGATGATAGATGCCTATTATATCCTAAGAAAAAAGTCATATCTATTAGCAATACGTCCGGTACCTGAGTTTGAACGTTTTTTAAGTTTTATTTATTTATTACCTGCATTGAGAGGCACCGATTGTTGTGGTGCAACACGTAATGTGTTTTGAGCAGGGGGGTATGGCGTTGATAGTGCGACGATCCTTCACGAATAAACTTGGCTACGTATCATTGTGCTTCAATGCAAATATTATGGAAGGACGATAGTCTTCTGCCGGTCTTTTTAGGGCATAGCTTCGCATTTTCAGTGCACTCTAACAACCACTAGGATTTTTAGAGTTATGTATCTGTGTGTTTTATAGTAAAGGAACATACCACCAATTAGTTAGTATGATATTATGCCTCAGATATGAGCAATATTTGCTTTTTGATCGACAATACTCACAAGTATCAACACAGCCACCAGTTCAAGATGGGTCGGCGTTCATAAATGCTTCAACTTTAGTTGGGAGGTGCAGTTGTGACACAGACATACAGAAAACAGAGAGACCAAAAATATCTGCGTGAAGACCCAGAAAAACTATCGCCTTTAAAAATGGTAGCTGCGCGTGACGCTGTTTTTTTTTGCCACCTTTAATGGTTCGCAACATTTAATTTTTCAGTAGCGTACACCAACGGCCCCCAACAAGAAGTTGTACACCAAAGAAAAGAAGCTGCGTGAGTTCGAGTGGCACCTGTAATTGGGCGAAATCATTGAGGTACAAGAGGGATACAGTGGACCACGTAGAGGCTAGCGCAGGTAAAACGTAGCTCGCTACGAACGGTAAACTAAATGACGTGTAAAGTGTCTGAAAGTAAGACAGCCAAGAGATGCAAAGACGGCATGAGCCCCTTGTCAGCGTCCTTCCTAGCACTTACGAGTTGGTGGCGTGAACCGAATCTGCCTGTTAATGCTAGCTAAGCCTGCGTGTTCGCGTCTTTCCTTCTCCCATTCCACCTTGCAGAGAAACGCAAAGACTACAATGCACGCAAGCCAGAGAAAAATGTTAATATAAAAAAGTTTTGCACCAATCACCGCAAACGCAGGCTTCGATTCACGCTACCAACATTTCTCAATCAAATTACTAAAGAACAGCTTTGTAACATTTCAAAAAATCTAAATAATTGAGCTAAAGAGTTAGTTATAGCACTACCCTTAATAATTATTTGCCTTCGAACATTGTCGATTTGCTTTTGTTTTGGTTGTTGGCCAAAGCAAACGTTTTGAATGTTTCTTTACATTATCTTTGCAAGCATCTTCTTTTTTCTACGCACATTAGACATATGCATTTTTCTCTACTTGTGCATTTTTTGCCTGTTTGTAGTGATAATTCATGCTGACATAGCTGTATGGCGACCAGGACACCCTCAAGCTGATTGCACCTGCTTTTTACCTCTTGTCTATTGCTACGGAATTTTCTTACAAATATACAATAAATCAAATCAAAATCAATGTGTCCGTATCACTTGTAAAAAAAATGCATTGAAGGACACTTTCGTTCACCACCACTGTAAGCATGTGTGTTCACGTTTTCCCCTTCTCGTATTTGACTCTGCAGAGAAACGCAAGAAGCTCTACTACGGCACTGGACGTGATCCCCCTGCCGGCATGTCCCGTATCCACCAAGTCCGTGCCGGCCACCGGGGACGGAAAGGGCGCCGACGGGGGCGGACTTGTGGGGCCACCGGTGGCGTGGGCGGCTCCATCGTCCTGCTGCCTTTCGTGCGCAGCAGGGCAGCCAGGGACTCCAATTACAGCAGCATGTCTACAGCCAGCGAGTCGCGGAGAGGCGTCGGTCTACGTGAGTACCATTTAAACATTAGCACCACATTAATGTGACCCACCTGCGTCATAATTTTCTGTGCAGCACCTGACAATCTATTTATTAATCATTTAGTTTAACTGTCCCAGCTGTTCGTTCTACTAATGGCAACGGCCCCTACAAACTGCTTAATAACGGCTACTTACGTATTGTTCAACAATCTCCCATGTTTACTAGCCCTGTAGCTATTCTTGTCTGTGCAGCGGAGTGATCTTTGAACAGATATGAACACTTTGCAGGTGTCGGCTGAATACGTCAGTAACAGCCCTATAAAGTAGCACATGTCAATTTCTCAAGGCTGAAAGACTAGACGGCCTTAAGCCATGCCATCGCTCGGCCGACGTTGATCTTTTGATGGCTCGCCGTACTTACAAGAGTGGCATGATCGAAAATGGTATATATAGCAACATTACTCTAATTGAAATCTCAGTGATGCCTTACACTTTAGCAGGCTTCAGAAGAGCTTATGTTTACTGTTCCATAATTTAAAAAACTTGTTGAATAGTATGTTTTCACACCGGTCTGCATTGCGGTGCCAATCACTCTGTAACCAAACTAGATTTCTATGAAGGAAGCATCCCAGCCTCTATATCATTAGTAATATTTGCAGTCAAACTTCAGAAATCTTGACGTCCTAAGCGACGGCGGGTACAAGATGTACTACTTTATTTTTGGGTCTGTCATACTGTAACTGCTTTGTTTCTTTGCGTTAGACGGTCAGATTACACTTGTTACGTGAAGTCCCTGCAAAGCTTTAGACATCTAAATGATCGCTTAACGCGTATTGTTTCTTAGTATTAACAATAGCCGTGTATAAATTCTGGGATAAACATCAAAACACGTTCATTTTGCGAGATTCAACCTCAAAGGGCTAGGGTATGTCAGTTTGGAATTTTATTCATTGAAGTGTACTGCAAGATGGTTGCATTCAGGTGTTATGAAGTTGTGGGTCAGCACAATCACTTGTGATACAATAGCTCAGCCACAGAATGAGTGTAGCAGTAAAAAGATTGGCCCCGTATCTGCATGTTAATCTGCAAATGTCATCGAAAGACGATAGTCTTGCGTGTGGAGAAAGTGAACAATTTAATTGATGTTCTGCCCAAAAAAAATTGGTGAATGGTAATCTGGAGGCGCTGCGTTAGAGTGCCTCTAGCGTGCAGCGAAGGCGAACGAACGCTTCAAGTCACGTCACACGGGAGACACGAGCACCATCTAGCAGTTTTCTTGGAAAACGAAGCGCATGGCTCTGAGACAGGTGTGCGCGCCCGTATCACAGGGGATAAAGTGTAGAACGCAAGGCGACGGGTAGGTGCCACTACCGTCTCGTCTTAGCGAAGCGTTGGAAACACTCTTTTCGTGCAGGCGTAGCATGGTCAACGCCACGTGATAACCACTACGGTCCTCGAAATTACTTATTTATGTCTTTTTTAGTGAAAGATGCACATGCAGAACATATACGTGTTGTTATGGTGCCTCAGACATGCGCAATATTTGCTTATTAATTGACAATTGCACAAGTATGAACGCTAAATCTTGAGCAACATTGGTGGGCGCTGCGGATGCAGTCGGCCGTTTCAAGTACCCGCTGCCGTTAAGAGTGGACAAACAGACAAATATACAGACAGAGAGACAGACAGACAGACAGACAGACAGACAGACAGACAGACAGATAGATAGACAGACAGACAGACAGACAGACAGACAGACAGACAGACAGACAGACAGACAGACAGACCAAAATTTTTGCGTCGAAGGTCCGCAAGAAAGACTATCGTCTTTAAAAGAGAAATGTTATTTGGAAAGGGGTTCGAGTTTGTCATAAAGTTTTGATAACGAGACGTTCTCAAATGCACACGTGTGCACTTCTATGGTTCTGGTGGCTCGTGACCATGTGGTGACCATGTGTGACGTGATAGTCACTAAATATTACTAAAATATAGCGAGTGTGCCCTGAAGTTCTTTGTAGAATCATGGTTCTATTTTTGCGCCATCGATAACATTTAGTAACAATATGAGTTACTTACTTCATCCACAGTGTATAAATTTTGCCATATTCCTACATATATTATTTGTGAATTCATCTTGCACCCCCCAGAAATTACTTTCTATTCTCGTATGTCAATGAAAACTTAAAACCACCGCATAATAGATACATCCTAGCTGTTGCGTTGATCATTTGTCACGTGTAATTATTTCCGGAATATACCGCATATGCAATATCCACCTAATGTGCAACATTTGACGTCTTTCTCTCTGTATATATAACGAGTAGCCACTTCTCTACGTGCGAAGTTTTTTCAGTTGTCAATAAATATTTGATAGCGTTGAAAAACGTGCATATTGTATGGGCAATCTATAACAGCAGCAACAGCCTTTTCCTGCTTGCAACGGCTGTTCGCAGAGTGACAATTCAGGTGACGTGGTTGGCAGTGCGGAAGGCCTGGAGGAGGCGCCGCCAATGCTGGGAAAGGTGACAATACTGCTCAAGTTCCAGCCGTCCTCGCCCACCGTGTCGTCATCGCAGGGATTTCCAGCTGGAAAACTCTTCATCACAATAAGGGTATGCCCTGTTCCAGAAAGGAGACTCGACCTCCCGTATCATTTTGTCGTGAAAAGCACTTGTAGGGATGATGGCTGTGGCCCCAGCTTAGGACTAAGAAGACCGTAATGGCAAGGATGAGCTCTTCTTTGTCCTTGTTTTGCGTTTACAGCCACCGCCATGACCTATCAACTAGCCAAGCCGCTACTACTCTGAGTGCTTTCACTCTAGTGCACTTGTGAATATGTAAGCGTACTGAATGCCGATCGATTGTGCGGTGCATGTTGAAGGGCTGACGATAGCAAAATGCGAGAACCAGCATAGCGCACATATTTTCGAATCTGGATTCTTGAGCCTTTCAATTTGATGAGTATCGTCCTCACTGCCCGCGTTCACGTCCGGGCACATTAGTTCCTGAGCCACCTAAACTATAGCAAATTTTTCAATGTAAATGAAAACTTGCGTCGGCGCTTGAAACATCATCGTTTACCTCTACCCCTAGAGTAAGGACCAGAATTTAAACTTAGCGACTACTGTACACAAAAAAAACGACAGTGAGCAGCTCGCGCTGCACAAGGCTGCTGAGACCACACTACTTACAGATCCGCCAATATTATTTTTATTTGTACAGTATAGTGTCGACAAAACTTACGAAATTAGTTTTTGGGAATCGTATTCTTATATTGAAAGCAATAGACCTAGAATACACATTTAGCAGTGGTACCTGTGCCCTGTTTGCCCCTACACCCACCGTTTGTGACCCGCCACGTTAGTCTAGTGGCTACGTCACTCGGCTGCACATCCACAGGTCGTGGGATCAATTATCGGCCGCGGTTGCAATGGTTTCGACGAAGGTGAGAAATCCTTGACGCCCGTATGCTTAGATTTCGGTGCACGCTAAACAACTCCGGGTGGTCTAAATTCCCGGCGCCCTCCACTATGGAGTCTCTCATTATCCTATGGTGCTTTTGGGTTGTTAAACACCAGCAAATATTAAAATTACCTACCGGTAATGAAGGACCATTTTTACTATTTGAAACTAAAATGACTGGCGCAAAGTTCTTAACACAAAATTGTTTTATGCCGGAGTCCTCCAATATTGCAGCGACGTATTTCCATCACGGAAATGACGTCTAAAATACGAAAGGTCAGAAGACAAAGAAAAAACCTCCATCAAATGAATTTAAATTAAGATATCGGTCCGCGACAACAGGTGCTGGGCACGCTATTCACTGTGCAAATACGCTTTTTGAATCTTCCACTGTCTTCTCATTGCGTTCTTGGTAAAGTGCAGTAATGCATCGTCACCCTGGTAACCGAGATTAGCTCCTTCAATGCTTTGTTTCTAAGTGTCCGTTCCATTCGTTACGTGCAACTTTATCAACGCCTTAACACACTCACAGGTGGTGACCTTACCCCAGGCGTCGGCGTCACTCATAGCATCCATCCATACCAAGCAGCTCTCGCTTTCATCTGGCCCTCAGGTTCTACCCGTGCGCTAGACCCGCGATTAATCGCAGCCGGACACAGAGACGACAAGTCATGCGTGGCATTTCTCTCTCATCGGGCAGTGGCATTCTCTAGCGTGCCATGAATAGACTACCTTAGCCCAAGTGTGGTGCGCAATCAGTCAAAGTCTTCTGACTGTAGGATAGTTTTCTCTGGTTTTGCTCCCACAGAGGCATCTACAGCCACAAGGCTCTGTTATTCTCAAAAGGGGCTCTTTAACACTTTTTCAAGTAACCATGGAACGAATTCAGTGGAAAAGATCATTGCCTCGCGAATCCAAGGCCACAAAAACTTTAGGAATCCATCCAGTGCGAATGGAGTTACAAAGATTTGTCGCATGCTGCAGTTGCATTCGCTCTTCTTTCGTCCTGACGTAAGCGCAGAAAGCTAGGCAGGGACAGATGGCTGGCGCAAAGAGAATACTTCATGCGCGCCTCGAGGCCTTGAGCACTTTTTCTTCTTTTCTTTTTCTTCGATCGAATGCGCGGCTTTTTCGGTTTGATCGAGTGGGATCACTGGAAACGCGCGCACGCGTGAATAAGTCGCGTCCTCCCGCGGTGATATTTGTAACGACCGAGCGCATTATTTTCAAATCAGCCAATGGCTGATAGGTGGCCATTCTACGAGTGATTTTTGAGCGTCGTCTGTCCCCTGTCAAGAGAAGAGTAAGCATTTTTAGCTGACTTTGATAATTTATTGTGAATTATAGGACAGCTATAGCATAAATGCATTCACGCTATAGCTGTCAAACACCAGAAGACGTTGAGAAAGCTCTTTTTTTTATCAATGTACAGTAAACAATATACTTTGTTTACAAGGACACATTTTACTTCAAGGACACGTTTTACTTTCGTGTTTCACCAATTCACATGACGGAGAGATCAACCATGTTTTCTTTTTTTTTTCAGTTCTTGTGAAACCACTGGAAATTAAATTTTCCACACTTCATTCCTTTTTTTACGCAAAAGTAGTTTTGGTAGTCGCATAGGTTATTAGTCGTAAAAAGGACAAATTTATGTAGCACTTCAAGTTGGTCCATAATCTGAAGTTTAGATAAGAATCTGGTCTCATGTGGATAGAGCGTACCTGAACCGGGAAGATTGCTCGGAATGGCAGCATCACCAATGCATGGAGACCGAGGCCATATGAGAGAAAATCCACTTCTGAAGCCACAATCGATAATAGCCTGCAGTGTGTCATACTTTAATTGGTGCTCGCGACTGAACCCAAATTCTACATACGTATAACTCTCTCTTCCAACTCAAAAGCACGGGGTCTTAGTTGCAGATATAAATAGTACTCTTTTGTTTAGTATAAGTTAGCTCCACTATTATTGACTATTTAATTTTATTGTTCCTAAAGGCCGGTTTTCCTTGCGGCTCATTGCGACAAAAATGTTCGTGAATTGTCTGCAGCATCCACAAAAAGCACATATTAGTTTGAATGTAACTATTTCTAGCGCCACACTATGAAATTCAGCTAAATCAAAGAAGTCACACAAATGTGAGTTTCCTGACTTTTCGCGCATACAGGAGTCTTAATTTTTCTTATGCGAAACTCGAGAACTCATGCCTAACAAGTAAACACATTGATAGTGCGCATTTTTTTACATGGGACCTTATTGAAAGCTAGCATAATAGGGTCTCGGCTTTTCGGCTTGTCTCGTCGTCGTCCCGGTCTATTACAAACGGGCATGCCCGACAAAAATTAGGTAAGTTCAACTGATCGCTACTGGTTTATGTACAAATAAAAGAGGCCGCAGTTAGCCTACGTTGTAGCAGACGATGTATTAGAATTAAATTGCATGAATTAATGGAACTTTGTTAAATTCTATCTCAGAATTGGTTTCGAATGGCTAGTTTTCTGCTTTAGGATGCACTTCGTAGCACGTTGCGATGTGTAACACGAAAGCAACTTATGGCGAAGTTACTGCTAATGGGTCATGAGAGACATGAGAACAATAATAGGAAGAGGAGAGTAAGGAGGTCGAAGACGAGGAGTGGCACGTTACGGGAAGCAGCAATCCAGCGCAGTTTTCCGACAATGTTAGGGAAACTTTAACACCCCTCCCTGCATGCCCGATTTCAGGCCACTCCAGTGCCTCATCAAAGAAATCTAGAAAAATATACCGGCGAACCATCTTGGTCAGGCACTTTCTAATTTCTCATTGCCCATCAGCAGCGATATTGCTGCGCAAAATACAGGTGAATGCTGCGTGTGCCACTCCTCCCAGGGTTTCACGTTAATGAGCTGGGATACTCTTCCTGTATGTATCGCTTCTCTCCAGTTTCTTATGACTCTTCTCTATGAAAAAAAAAGCTATTTGTGCGCCGTTCCATCAGAGCAAGGACGCAGTAAGGGACAATAACGCTTCGTCTGCGAGTGGATACGCGTTCGAGTGTCGCGTCCGCGGAACTTTTCAGATGCGATACTCTAGTTTGTGGTTTTCTTGAATCGTTCGTTGGGCCAATAATTACGTTCACTCTAAAATTTATTTTTATTCATCGGGTTATGGTTTGGCGGCATCGCACAGTCATTAGATCGGCTTTACGGAATCTAAAAAAAAGAAATAATGCACGCGTAACAAGCTATGCAAGAACATCATCGATAATTAAACCTGAATCAAGTTGTTTTCACTAGAAAGCAGCATTCTGACTCTGAGCCACCTACGAGCTGCTTTGCGCGGCTTATAAATGGACGCATCACGCAGACTAACGATTATATTGACTCAAGCAGCTTGAGCTTGCTTTGGCTTTATATTTGAAGCTTATACGGAGCACTTTTCCTGGTTCTAGTACAGTTCACAATAGAAAAGATGTGGTTTGAAATATTGATTGACAATTTTCTTGGCAGTATTAGAAGCAGAACGGTCCTGACCAACTTCATTTCTCGCATAATGGCAGGCTGAGTGGTATGGCAGTTAATAATTTTTAAAACGTACGAAAACGCAATCAAAATGTCTCGTAAATGCGATAATGTGCGTGCGTCTGACTTTTGCATGAGGATAAACATCAGCGTACATAGGGAACAAGAAATCTAGGTACTCTCAAAAGGCCCTTGGATACTCACTCTTTTGGGTTATTATGAGGGTTCCGTAAAATACGTAGTTATCGTGCACTAATAAAGCTGAAAAGTAACAGAAAAATGACCGACAAAGAACAAGACTATCTTTGATAGCTTTTGTTTAAACATTCAAGCAGGAATCAGTGAAAGAGCACTCTTACCAGTCAATGTGAAAAATCTGTGAACCATTTCAGCTCATACAATGCGTGCTATGAGCAATGTGAAAGTAATGGCTCATAAATTATGCTCAGGTAATGACTGGTTTCCTTGAGTTTTTTCTGAACAAAATAGAAAAATTTCACGCCGCATGAAAACACGACTCATATGCCTGCCATTTCGCAGCTTTTTCTCCGGGAAGTAATCGCTCGTAATACTGTATCACAGGAGGCGCAGAACCTTCCACCTAAGCCCCACGGTGTCGTCTGTGACCCGTACATTACCTGTAAGGTAATAAAAGGCCGCATCAAGAAGCCGCGACGTGGCAGCGCCGGCCTTCGGCGGCCCAGCTGCATCAGCCTCGGCAGCTCGGGTCACTGCCTGGGCCAGTACCAAACGCAGACCAAGCGCAAGACGCAGAGCCCCCTCTACAATGAGACCTTTTCGCTGGACCTGGCCAGGGGAGAGTTGAAGGACTCGTCCCTTTACCTGGCCCTTTACGACATGGACAAGGTAAGACATTCATCTCAGTAATACCTACCTGACATAGCTGTTCGGTTTGTCTTAATGGTGCATAAACAACAGGGGTACGTAAAGAGGCTTTGAATTTTGCCGCCACTACGTCATGAAAATAAATGCCTCATGGTTCCATTCCAGCTGTCAGTACCCGCGAATGAGCAAATTCATGAATTTGCAGGTCGAAGATGAGAAAGATATGATGACGGCTTTTTCCTAACGCGTAATTTTAATGATAAACATGCTAGGTGAGGTACCTGCCACGCTGGCACTTAAGCTTGGGTTTTTCAGCGATATTTCGCTGATAAAAATGCAAAAAACACGACTTACTTCACCATGGGAAGTATTGTTGCTTGTGGTGATACGTCTGAGACTTCGCTCTGCTAAAACTCGTGCTTCATTATTTTAATGCATTCACTTTTTTTGTATTTTAGCATGCAACTGGTGCCTAATTTGTGTCTAATGTGTTTCTTAGGAATTGATTATCTATTTAAATATAATAATTACAAATAGCACACTAAAAACAAAGTACAATACTTTAAATTAATATCTTGCACTCTTTTGTAGGACTCATGAATCATAACTTTTATGCCTCAGTCAAATGAATTTTTGATGTAATGTTTCACTTTAGCACAACGAGAATTCAGAAACAGATTTTCACATAGGTCACACTAATTAGTACAATGCATTGGTAGAATATGCGTTAATACAGGAAATAGTGTTTATCAGTTACCTACGAGCACAAATGAGACAGTCAACAAATTATTGTAATGGCCAATAAAACGAAATATTTCTGCAAGTATATTTTGTTTTGCCATCAGGTGCACCTAATTATACACTAAGCTACGAATTTTGTAAGACAAAGCAGTTTATATGTAGTGTACCAAGAAAATAGTCGACAAAGCAATTCTGTTGTCCTTTTTTGAAGAGATGTATTGAATAGCGGCCATTGTCTTGTGAACTTTAAAAACAAGTGGATTTGTGCGCCTTGGCTCATCTTGAATATGAATTGAAGAAGTGTGAAAAGACGAGGTGGGCAGCTGGAACGAACCACAGTGGAGAAAGACCATCGGCTTCCATCTTCAGCCAACGCCTACTGCACTGTGGTCGTTTCCTGCTTCTACGCTTGCAGATTCGCGCTACTCAAAGTTATACTGCTAAAACACGTTCTAAGGGCCAAGTTTTCATGTTGTTTCATTTGTTGCACTGTCTTATGATCTCAGCTGATGTATTTACGTCCTTGATCTACTGCTCTCCTGTCCTATGGGAAAGGCTTAACAATTATAAATTCTGCTCGTAACCTACAATATCCTACATTGACAGCTGTATCAATTTCACTTTTGCACAGTGAAAGCCCTTTCGCTTGATGCCAGCTTAACAATTCTTTTCTTCATTGGCTGGACTCTCTTTCGATGACAACCTATATGGTGCTGACGCTCGCAAGCTGGACTGGCATGTGATGGCAGGTCAACAATTGGTGTTGGTGCTCATCGACTGAATTCCTCAAAAATTACATGATAAAAATTTTCACTTGTGCACATTAAGTGGGTAGTTCACGGTGTAAGCCTGTTAATTTTTACATAAGATCATCTGATTCCTGTCCTACCATGGTTGCTTAACACTGTCCACATTTGATCATAAAATGACGTCTTGAACATTTCAACTAAACATTTCATGCAGTGTTCCAATGACACCGAAGTGGGGGAGGCGATCGTTCCCCTGAAAGAAGTCGACAAGTTGGTGGAAGATCCAACAGATCACATGCTAGAATTGGAGCTGAAGGAACCTAAGCAGGTGAAATATTTTCACTGCATACCATTTTGGGTGATGTTTATAATATTGTGTCTGTGGCGCACCTTCGGCTGCCAAATCTCTTGGTGCATATATCATCGCATTGTCTTTCCTTCAGAAATATGCTTATGCTGGTTTCGCCGTGCGATCTCGAAGAAAGTTATCTGCAGTGTTTTTTCTAAAAGCAGTAGGCAGGCAAGAATGTTCAGAAAAAATACTTCGCTGCTGTAGGAACCTGATAGGGTGAGATGGGGGAACATACATAGTGAACATTAGGGTCTCGAATTTGGCTGGTTGATATGTACTGATTTTGAAAGAAAAAAATTATTCTTGTGTTCGTGCTATTGGCGCACAAAGAAAAGAAACAAGTCAGCGTTATTAAAATTTCCATCCGGTCACTGTGCACAGCGTGCTTACGAAGAATCAGTTGCTCCTAATTGGCTGCTGAAACAGAGGAAAATTTATTTGTTTTCACTAATAGCAAGATTGATTGGCCCTGTCAATTCACGAGTCTTCTTTCTCTCGTCATTGCTTTTTCCAAAAGTCGCAACGATGTTTTCTTTCTACTAATGTGTCGTGAGACACACTGGCCGAGTTCCTCCTCTCAATGTTTGAGACATTTCATCAAGCTCAGAGCTAATTAATAAATTATCTTTAAGCACTATTGTCTAATGTTTGAGCTTCTATTATTTTTATAAAAACATGTAATAGGTCAGTGCTGCATACGTGCCTTACTTGTGTGCTAAACAAGATGCTCAATGAGCTGTATCATTGACAATTCTAACCACTCACTGGATTGAGGACGCAAATTTCAAAAACATTGGCATGGTAAAGACAGGATCACATCTAAGTACAACTATCTCCGTGGCTCAGATTGTGAAATGTTCGCATGCCTTATGGCAGCTGCCACGTGGCATACAATCAGTTGGAGCTATCAAAACACAACTACAATAATCACACTTGTCAACCACGACGATAACATTATCCATGATATTTACGAGTAGAGGCCAGCAGTTGTCTATTTCTTGTGTATTCACAAATTACAGAAATTACTGTTGTAAGTAGAGTTCTCTCAAACAGCATAAATATAAATAGTATAACGGCATCATGTGAAAAAAAGACATGCCCATGTAGTCATGAATATTGCTGCGACATTCCAGAACTGAAATTGCAAATTCTATTTTCTGCTCTGCCAACAGTACAAGGGAGAGATTCTGTTCGGGCTGAGCTACCTGCCTACAGCCGAGAGGCTCACCTTTACCATAATGAAGGCCAGCAATTTGACATCGCCCATGAACAACCTGGAGTCTTTCTGTAAGTTCAAGCACTCTTATTTTACCTGATACACTAAGATATCTTTGCTTGCACATTGGACACACGTATCTCTGCTTACTCCATCTGTATATGTCCTAGCCTGTTATACTCGCTTAAACATTTCCATTTAAAAACGATCTGAATAGAGGGTTTAGCTTATGCAATAATTAGAAATATTGCCCTTATGTGAAATAGTACGCGTTATGTGAGGAACGGGTTCACTGTAGATACCCTAGACCATCAAAACATGTGCTCTTCACAAAAATTGAAGCCATCACTTTCTTAGGCTCTATCAAGTCGTTGCCTTGCTTGAACAGCACTGAATCAGAGTAATTCTTTATATTTATGGAGTTATGCTGGCATTTTTATGAATGCCTGACTAAAAAACGCAACACACATATTCTGCATACCTGAACATAGCGTATTCTTGTGAAGTGCTACTTGTGCTCCAGTGTTTAAGAACAAGTTGTATAGTTATTTCACCATCTTTTCAGCTTGATGTTTGATAGCTAAAGCATGCTATATTACAAATGGCTAGGTCAAGAGCAGAAATGCAGCTCTATTTTTTTATTCATAGCACCCATGTTTTGCAAAGCATGACTTAGCTGCTCCACTTTACTCCTAGCTGTGCACCAGCTTTTCATACAATTGTGAATATTATATCGAGAGCTTAAATGTATTAGGCATGTCAACAAACGATTTGTGTGAATGAAACACAGGTTAACATTTTTAGAAATTATTTATATACAGCAGAAGAACAATATTTGCAATATTCAAGAAAGGGTTACAAATATACGGACGCATGCACCCTCTTTTGTGAAATAGAAAGTAAAGTAGTCTTTCTTTACAAACACATTACAATAGTCATTACTTTTAAAATGGCCGACAACTTTTGCCGCAGCCAATACACACATACAAAAAGCTTTGCAGAAGCCTTTTAAAACTACTGCCAAAAGGCTTTTCAGGAGTCTATTAAGTCTAAAGAAGAAGCAAAGAAGCCTTCCTGACTTCTTTTTCACATTAAAGCATGTGGAAATAGAAGCTAGTTTATATAAAATCGCTCGTATGGGTGATATAAACGAGCGAAAATTCAGTGTGAAGTTGGCAGGAGTTCAGTTGAGTGAACTTTTTTGTACTTCAAAGAAATAAATGATAATAATTGTTCATCTTGGGTAAAATAGTATACACCTCTGGTGTATGTACTCGTTGTTAGTAATATGTGCATTTCGGCCATATATCCTTGCGTTCAGAACCTTGTTCAAATACCTTAAATCTTTGACGTAGAAAAACTTCCCTTGGAATGATTTCAAAGCCTGTATATATCAGTTTTACTACTTTTTGACCAAATAGCAATCCGTTCAGCAAGAAGCTTAAACAAAGCTTTTCGCCTGTCCAGTACAAATTGTTAGAGAAAGTCATAAGGCCAATTTTATTATAGAAGTGCAACAATGAACGCAAATACATGCATATAAAAGGAGACAACCAGAAGGATAGAGAAGCTTGCGTGTAGCAATGGCAGTGAAGTAAGTGCAAAGTTTTCCAAACATACGGGTCAATATTTTACTAATGTTTTTCAATAATTCAGAAAAGTGAATGTGTTTGACACCTACATCAAAATTTATTGCCAACATAGTGCTGCTTTAACCACAATTAAATTCGTTTTGATGGTACCATACATGAATGGGGCATTGAAAAACAGAAGTGTAAAGAAATCGATTGGTAAATAGAACTTTTTTATCCTCTTTCAGGAATTGGGTCACCATTGCACCTGGTTAGAGGCGCATGAAAAAATAAAATTTAAGTCACAATGTTTTTCATTTGAGCGTGCTCCGTCATAGTTTTCCAACCCGAATGTCATCCTGAGATGTCATGAACTTGAAGGGCTTTTTGCGTATTCACCAAAAGGACAACAATAACTTCATTCGTTTTGTCATGTTAAGTTCCCAGGTCTAAAAACAAGCAAGCTATATTTCATATTTATTCCATTGATTATGCAGGCTCTTACAAGCATTGTTGAAACGCAGTATGTCGCTGCTAATCGGAGAGAAAGCATATATTGAGGGTCGACACTTGTTTGTGTGATTCTTGTGGTACATTTAGCTTTTTTTAGCGTAGCTAACTAAACTCAGCCTTTATTACTTTGTATCCTTTTTTATCCTTTTATCTGTCTTGCGGCTTGTTAGGAAGCTTTTTGTGGGAGGAGCAATCTACCTGTAATCGCAAAATGTCTTTTCCTTTTATTATCTTCTTAACGTGTCCTTGATTGTATTCTATATCGCAGATCCGTGTGTTCGTGTGCTCCTGTTCCATAGCGGGAAGCTTCGCAAGAAAAAGAAGACAGCCGCCCAACATGCCACGCTTTGTCCTGTCTACAACGAGTCGCTGACGTTCGACGTGCCGCAGACTGAGCTGGACAACGTCGTCTTTCTGGTCGTGGTCAGCCACCGGGACCCCTCCCAGACCGTTTCCTCACCAGAGTCACCCACGACTCCCGTGGCCGGAGCCCCGCAGCAGCACGTCGGCAAAGTGATCGTCGGAGCCTGCGGCCGCGGCAGCGTACTCCACCACTGGAACGCCATGAAACAGAGCCCGCGCAAGCAGGTCACCCAATGGCACACGCTCCGGTGAATGGACACGTTTCGCGCGGCGAGTGCAGACTGGTATGGACTAACTTGTGTGGACATTACAGGAGGGAAAAAAGGCAGTGAGCACGTTGAAATATCTGAAGCGATATTTGCTTACGTGCAAACACCAGAGTTACCCTGGGGCAATCGCACTCCTCGCATGTGCTTCGAAATTGTTAAACCAAGGCAATTGATCTGCACAATTTGGAGGAGTGGCCATCATAGGTGCACGTGCACTTTGTGAGCGACATGTCAGTGGTGTTTTAATAGCACATATGATTAGGTAGAAAGAAACCCTCTGATGGATCTGAATATACACAGGAATGGCAATTGATGATATTGTGAAAATGAAACTGGTACTGCGATTTCCTTCCAATACCCACCCACTCCTGTAGTCTTGTACGATTACTCATGTCCCTATTCCTGTTGGAAACTGACTGAGAGCATTTATGGAGGCTATCAACTGTAGTTTACGAGTCTCATAAACAATGACAATGTGGCATTGTTTGTTTCCGAACTTAGGAGGCCGTCTTCATTGAACAGCTGGGAATTCAGTCACCCAATGCCAGAGACAAACTTCCTACATTCGTTAACCAGTCACAGCATGCCGTTTGTTGCCATCCTGGTTTGTTACGGTTCATTTCCTTTCAAAATTCAATGTATATTGTCAGACTTGCATGCCAGCACGACCGTTTCGTTTGGAGAAAAAAATCCCCGGGTTATTACACAACTTCCGAGTGCACAGCTATATGTTCGGCATAAAATGCACTCGATTTTTTCACTTTGGAGTGGCGTGGTGGTGGAGACAGTCAGAGAGCAGTAGTAGCGGACGATACCAAGTAGGAAGGTACATCGATTTTCTGTGGAATCCTTTCTTCGGGGCAGAGCGTTCTCGCTATGAAATGACCATCATAAGAAGGAAATGTTACGAACTTCAACTCGGGTCTCCATTCCAATATAAACTTATTTCTTTATACGCAGAAACATCACTCTGGATTTACATAACCACAAGGAGGAGGAATAGTGGCAGGTTCATCTCATGACGTTGCTTTATAATTCACACGAAATAATTGTCGTGTAATATTTTGTCACTGTCCACGTTTTTTGGCGTATGTTGACATGCAGTAACTGTACTTTCGTTCATTTTAATTACTGTAGTCACAAAGTTGGGCTACTATGCTCAAGAAGGCGTATTCGATTCCCAGCCGTCGTGACTGCTATACTATTTGAACTAAACACAAAAGAAAAAAAACTACCTTGTACTTCCCACGTCAGTGCACTTTACAGTTGTCCTCAATTAATTTTGAGTCCTCTGTTGTAGCATGACTCCTTATATGTATTTATTTTTCTACGCAATACCTGAGAAAAAAACTATCATTAACCGTACTTAGAAAATTAGGGAACTGTGAAATTTAGACAAGCAGGTTGGCTGCTATCTGTCTCAATGCTTATCAGCTCTCGCGAACAGTTTCATTGATAGGTAAATTCGGGCAGGAAACTTGTAGTGTACAATCATATTCTTTGAAAAGTTTTGAAGAAATCGCAAACCAGCGAAGCATTCCCCATCCTGTGTGCTAGACTATAGGCCAACTCTGCACTAGTACACTAAAGTGGTATTCTAAGCGAGTGCTCAAACTCATGGCCATGAAAACCAATTTTGGAGAAACAACTATAAGCGGCACTATATCTACATAAAACATGGCATTTTATTGGCTATGTATGTTTTATGCTAGGATCGATTTTTGAAAAAAAAAAGTGCATGCAATGTGGTAAAATTTAGTCAACATGGACGTGGCATCTGGTATGTATATACAGAGATGCACCTCTTAAAAGTTCAAATTTGGATAAAATACTTGATTTGTGATACTATACTGACTGTTTTTTAATCTCGAAGACTTATCACTTTTTACTGTCTAGAAGTACCTCAGTTCCGTTGGGAGGGGAACTGATGAAGTTGTCGTAAAAACGCGACACAGTTGATCAGCAAAGGCACGTTTGAATTTTTTGCTTGTGCTCCTCCTCATATGCACTACTCGAATAACAGGCAAAGGAACAATGAGTTGTTGTTTACGGCATATTTATTGTTCAAGAGTGAGAATCCAGGCTTGACGTTCCAACACTACAGCATGATGCTTTGGAGATGTTATAGTTCCTTTGTCTACATGTATGCCTCATAAAAGTACCTCCCATGAAGTAATTGTTTCCTCCTTCTCCTTTTTAACTCATACCACAAAAAATTTAGGACATAGTTGGTAACATTCTGCATGGTTAATTGGGGCTACAGGCATGGTGAAATATTTTGTGAAACCCTTTATTGAAGACCCAAGGTTTATGACACAGTCATCGTGAGCTTCGGTACTAATTGCTGATGCTGGAAATGCTAACTAGTGACGTTTTGAAATATCATTGAAATATCTGTGCTGCCTTGACACATGTTTTTTGTCCTTTGGATGTCCTTTTTCTTCAAACAATAACACTCCCGTTTCGTTGCGGAAGAAGAATATGTTTGATGTATAGCTACCTTCCCCATACACTGTGCTCACATGACAGGGATGTATTCTCGCTGTGAAACATCCAAGTCGACACAAGTTGACAAACTTTTCATATTCTGCTAATGAAGTTTCTCGCATGTGTATACTTGTACACTTCTTTTTTTGCATGGGGCAAGTGCATCTAAGCAAGCAAGTTTATGGTATTGCAAGAAGTATATAACAACTGAATACAGAAATAAATTAGTAACAATTGCCTGTGAAAAACAAGTGGAAAACACTGAAAATATTAGAACATTTTTTCTCTCACAATTAATAATATCTGAACTTCTGTGACATCTACAATATAATACTATTTTAATGTTAATTTGCGGAAACAAAAGTTCAATTGGACACTTCCTCGCGATTTTCAGATCAAACTGCAGAAACGTTTACTTTTTTTGTTGCTTACCACTAAGGCACCTGAACTCACCAGCTTTTTGCGTAAGAGGGGTTTCAGTGGCGGTTCTTTAATTTTGTCACAAGGTGCCTATTTCAATTGTAATCTGCAGTTACATTTTTAAAAGGACCTTTATGAGTGTTTTACAGCTTGTTGTGCCACCAGTATTTCTGGTGCGAATAAGTTGCTTGCCATGGTCAGGATTTATTTCTCGCAGCTTTTCCTTCACTTGTTAACATTTGCACTGTTGTTGAAAGGAGATGGAAAAATGATGTCTCACACAGTGAGAATTGTAATTCTGTTTTGTAAATGCCAGTGTTGGATGTTGGATAGCATATATTTCAAGACGGACTCCTGTAAACTTAAGAGGCTTTTCTCGCAAAGTCGTAGGACCTGCGACCATGGATCTGTCAAAAGTCAGATAAACAGGATGTACTCGTTAGAGATGTTTCCCATTTCGTACAATAGTTCTTCAGTTAAAATAAATATGGTGTCTGGGCTTCTTATCTCTTTATTAATAGCACTGCAAGTGCCACGATCCAGACACACAAGTTTTTAGGGGAAGGTACATGCTTATATTTCGCATTTCTGCTCTTATGGCATACCTTTGTCCACTGCAGAATTCACAAATTTTTTGTGATGCTTTGCCTAGTAACAAAGTAGTTTGGACCTGTCAATTTTAGTGCTTAGATCAAACATTTTTTAAAAGAGTGATATCTTTTGTCGAAAGTATTGTGATTCAAGCTTCATAAAATGGGCCGCCTGTTAAGTTGTAGAAAAAATTATTTTTGAAAAAAACTAACTACTGGCTAGTTTGCTAGCATAGCTATAAGCAGGCAAATAATACTGATATTTCACTATTCTGCAATATCCTTTACTTTCCCCCAAACATATTAGATTACCTAGCTGTATCATTCTCTGTTAGGACTTCTAGGCATTACAATTACTTGAGATGCCTTTTCAGCGAGCTACCCATTTTACTGAAAAGGGTAACAATGTGGTTTCAGGTAATTACAATGCATATAGTTGTATTTTAAATGTTGTTTATCATATTAATTTGTAAACCACTTTCTAAACTGAGCGATACTGAATCACACAACCTTACCTGCATTTCACATTATACATGAATAATGTTTCCCACTCACGGACAAAACTTGTTAGCTATTTATGACATTTTTTGTACAGTGAGGTCATCTCACGAGATATCTATTTGAAAAGGTGCTATCAATCCACGAAGTGTTCACGGCGCTTTGCTAGTGTAGCAAGAAAAAGTCTTTCCGAAGGCATATCTTCATGACAAGGTAGATGACGGCTGAGGGATGGCAACGACGCGTCCAGTGGACCAGCAAAAAAAGAATATATAATTTTAAAATAAATATGCTTCCAAAATTTGCTGGAGATAACAATAACAACCTGTAGTAGTAAGTTATGATTCGGTATTTGTCTCGATCCTATTCAAACAATAAAGTGTGTGTGTTATTTAATAAATATCTGAAATAATTACATTTAAATTATTTTTATTGCATTTATTTCTGGCGGTACAATTACTGTGATATGAAGCCCCACTTATTATTTTTCTTAATTATTTATAGCAGCAGCTTCCAGCACAAAACATGTATTTATAAATATTTGCAATTCATAATGGCCCTTAAAATAGAAATAATGCCTATTCTGGGTGCCCATAATGTAAATAACGGATATCACGTATAAAGTTTTTGTGTAATAGTTTTTTTGCTTTCAATAAAGGACTACTTGCTAATGAGAACACAGTGCCTATTTCACTCTGTAACAGGGTTGAAGAACCACAGAGCAATTCCAACTGAAGGGAACGCTTATCACTCATTAAACCCAGCGCCGAATAACGCAAGCAACTGGAGTAGTAAACCTAAACTAATAGCTAACATAAGAAATGTAGTAGTTTTCTTTCATAGTATACAAAGTTTCTAACGCACACACATCTTTCACTTTTCCAATACAAATTGGCAATTGAGGTTTGTCTGGTCATGGTGGTGTTTCGAAATGCTGGGCGACGTTTTGAAATAAAATGACATATATTTTATTACAATTAAGCGACATTCAATATCACGGCTCGGTCACTCAGTGTACATCTGGGATCACTAATTGTATCCATAAAAATATTGGTTCTTTTAGGTTTTTTCTAAGTTGGGCACGTTGTATATATCAAATTATTGTAAAATATTAAGGAAATACATTACATCTACACTTCAAAGGGGTGAGCTGCAACAGACAGCGTATTTTTATCTAGAATATTAGAACGTCCGTGAATTTTGAAGTATTAGCGATATCTCTGGTCAGTGCTATTTTTATACCAATGCCCACGAATTACATTCCATAAATGAAAACAGTAAATGGCTTTCCGTGCGATGGAAACTCCTACACAGAAATTTAGTTCAAATAGAGGCATTGCAATAGCACAATATTTTTGCTCTTGGCTTAGAAGATATTTGAAATCACAGGCAATTTCAGACTACCAAGTAAACTGGCGTAACTTGTATTGGCTGAACGATCGGTGTCTCAATAATCAAACGGTAAGTTGGAGCCCATCGGTAGTTT